AGCTTTGTACTTGTAGTAGCGAAAGCAAACTTTCTGACAAATCTTCTTACAAAGCTTTGCTTTGTACTTGTAGTAGCGAAAGCCATACGGTTTGTAAGTAGATTTGTTACTACCTAGAAAGGTGGCTTAAGATTGTTTTAATTTGTCAGCTTTTTCAATAGCTTCATCAATTTTTCCAACAAGATAAAACGCTTGTTCAGGCAAGTCATCAAGTTCGCCAGAAATAACTGAATTAAACCCTTGAATTGTTTCTGCTAAAGCAACGTATTTGCCTGGTGATCCTGTAAATACTTCAGCAACAAAGAAGGGTTGGGACAAGAAACGTTCTACCTTTCTTGCTCGTGCTACGATCAATCTGTCCTCTTCGGACAATTCATCTAACCCCAAAATCGCAATAATGTCTTGTAACTCTTTGTACCTTTGTAGAGTTTGCTTAACATCTTGTGCACAGGCATAATGTTTTTCTCCTACAATCCAAGGTTGTAACATCGTAGACGTTGAATCTAATGGGTCTACCGCTGGATAAATACCTTTTGATGCAAGAGCACGTGAAAGAACGGTTGTGGCATCTAAATGCGAGAATGTAGTAGCTGGTGCTGGGTCAGTCAAATCATCAGCAGGTACATAAACTGCTTGAATTGAAGTGATTGATCCATCTTTTGTTGATGTAATTCTTTCTTGTAAACCACCCATCTCTGTTGCTAATGTCGGTTGATATCCAACAGCAGATGGCATACGTCCTAACAACGCAGAAACCTCTGAACCCGCTTGTACAAAACGGAAGATATTGTCAATAAATAAAAGTACATCACGTTTACTAATGTCTCTAAAATATTCAGCCATCGTTAAAGCTGTTAGACCTACACGCATACGTGCGCCTGGTGGCTCATTCATCTGACCATAAACTAAAGCAACTTTAGATGAAGAAAGATTTTCTTCATTGATTACCTTCGATTCTTTCATTTCAGCATACAAATCGTTTCCTTCTCTTGTTCGTTCACCTACACCACCAAAAACGGAAACACCGCCATGAGCTTTCGCAATATTGTTAATCAGTTCCATAATAAGAACTGTTTTGCCTACACCAGCCCCACCAAACAAACCAATCTTGCCCCCACGTCGATAAGGAGCTAAAAGGTCTACTACCTTAATACCAGTTTCAAAAATAGCTAGCTTTGTGTCTAAATCTACAAATGCTGGTGCCGGGCGATGGATAGGAA